TAGGTTCAAGTAAGTAGCCTATTAAATTTGAGCACAATCGGCTTTTATTTATTTGTAGAAAAATCACATTAAAAACCATCACAAAGTAGTACAGTGTACTACCGGTAGTACGGGTAAATCCAATCCATTAATATTAGGATATACTTAAATTATAAAATTTTAAAATTAATATATACCTATAGTGAAAAAATATATAAATAAACCTCGTAGTTCAGATAATAAAGCTTTTTCTTTATCAAATACTTGAGCCAAATTTCTCAAACAAAATATCTATATATAGCATTATTGTCTTGATGATCTAACCTTATTACATCTCACTTATATATAATACTTTCTTCTTTAAGAGATAATTATAACAGATAATCAAACCAGATTGTAGAATTTCCAAATATAAGTAAACAAGTACCTGATATAGCGGCATTTCTAGCTATTTTTTTCTATATTTCGGATCTTGAATACAGATTACAGGCCCAACTTTGAGAAATATTGGACAGTTAAAATTAATACCAAATTGAGTATTTCAGTATTGAACCTGATAGTTTGTTCTAGATACTTGTAATAAATTCTGTGTTTGGAATTCAGCAACAGCACTATTTGACCTAATAGATATTATGTGTAATTTCAAATTTGCTACAATATTTATAAGCTTTTGATAATATGTAAAAATTTTTTTACTATCATCACTTCTAGTTGAAATTAATGCTACAATTATTAGTAGAAATTTTGGAAGAGGCATCTAGTAATTTAAAAAATTTATTTATATAAAATATTATAATAAAATTTAAATTAATTATTAACTATTATCTGAAGAACATAAGCTCTAATATATTTTGCAACTGTATTTTCTTGCTTTATATCAGAAACCTTATTAGATATATTATCATAAGTTTTAATCTTACAATAATTTTGATTCAAGGTCAATCCAACAATGCAATCTAAACTGGAAAAATACTGTAACCTAGCTTTTATTTTTGTACAATTAGTCATAACTACAACAGGATCTTTATAATGTAATGTATCTAAAAGCTTCTTAAAATGAGCAATATTTTCATAGCAAAGATTGGGATTATTGATCACATTATCTAAAATTCTTCTATGGTGTCTATAAATAATAAAATTATTTTTAAATATAATTATGCTAGTTAATAATTTTCTATAGTGATATACTGTATATTTAATTTTTAAATTAAATAATATCAGGGTGTGGTGACTTAGTGAAGTGGTTAAGTTGTTACACCCCCAAGCGATATGTCGGCCAGGTAGGGGTTCGAAACCCACTGGCGACGAATTTCAAATATTCTACTTGTACGATGGCTACTGTCTTTTGACGATCGGTTGGAACGGGAT